CATTCTAGGTTAATGCGGGTAGAAGTTGGCCATTTAGGCAGCTTTCTTGTTCTACATTTACGTATTCCCATGCACCAAGGGATATGCGACTCAAAGCAAAAAAAGAAACAAATAGGGTCATACAGAGAGGCAAATAGAGTCATATAGAGGGAAAACTAGACACGTGCGAAAAAATAATCAAAATAAAAATAATCACCACTAGATTGCATCTCCGTAGTTCAGAAAGGAATAATGAAATTATGATCAGAGAGTTCCTCATCATTTTTACTGGGACCTCCTACTTCCCTTCCCCAATTTCCCCATTAGTCTACCTAATCTTTCCTGAGGTTTGAATTTTCGAAGCAATTCAATATCCAAACACAAAACTCATTTCATGGTCCTGCAGATGCAAATCGAGACTTGCCTTCATTCCTGTCGCAAAGATCACATTCATCATTCATCACTCTGTAGGGGCTGATTAGATTCGAATCCATTTGCTCGATGTCTCGCTCCTATAAGACGTTGTTTTTAAGCTGCAGACAGACCAGAGAGCTTTCTGCTGGGTGAAATTTATAATAATGGCAAAGTTGCTAGGGATACGATCCGAAACGTTAGTTCGTAGCCCAAGAGCCAACGTTGCCGTAGGTGTTCCCCCTCTATACAATACACGTATTATGTTAATAATGGGTTATCACATGGGAAAAGAACCACTGTATATCAATCAATAATCGATCGTGTTTTATGCGAAAACAGTCTATCAAAGACAGAACTGATAATTTTATCAAACTGTAAAGCATATTTTACATTATGAGACAGTCCCCGCTGTGCCCACTCCTGAAACTGATTCATATCACTTTTTAGGATTCTTAATGATATGGTGGGGATGGCTGGCCTTTAATACTTCGTCTAATTACTCCGTCTCAGGTCAGCAATGGACAGAAGGAAGCCGGTCCGGATTTTCAGCTTTGCTTTTGCTTTAACTGCCTTCCTGTTAATAACGGATCAGTTCAATGAATTTGTTGGTTACAGATCTGCTGTTGGGACCATCATGGCATCAGTCGGTGGCGGAATGGTTACAGTACTAATTTCACGGTACACAACAAAAAAGATCGAAGTCGACATGTTCATAGATGGATTACTAGCTTCCTTGGTTTCGAGTACAGGTACAATGCAAACGATTTAAAGAGCGAATTAAAAGAAAACCAGGGCTGTAGTTATGTCCGGTCGACCATAAAAATAAAGAAAGGAAGTGAATTTTCAGCCGGCTGCCTTTTTTACACCCCATGGCAAGCCACGCTGGTCGGAGCGATCGGGTCAACGTTAGCGTTGATAGCTTATCCAGTGTTAGAGAAAGCAAAGGTACGTAAACAGTAATCTGGTTGCGGTATCGTAATCCAGTACCAATACAGTAAACACATAACCACAACGGACAGCTCCGCACCAGCCAACATTTGAACCAATTTCTCTTCAGATTGATGATCCAGTTGGTGTGATTCCTGTACATGTGGTTGGCTCAGTGTGGGGAATGATTAGTCCAGCTCTATTCGTCTGTCGTGATTTCGGTTTGGAACAACATAAGGTCTGTCAAGGTCCGACTGCAATGAAAGCCCTTCCTTCAACCTTTCTCATTCCAGGTCACCAACGAGAACGATCTTTCGGGACTTCTCTACGGTGGAGGGGTGACGTTACTGCTCTATCAGCTTGCAGCTCTTGGTGCGATCGCGGTTTTCAGCGCATTCAGTGCATTCACAATACTTTGGGTTCGCCTTTTTTTACTACATTAATATTTTGCCATAGTTCCAGTTGAAGCAAAGGTGTGTTGCGTACAGCTCGCGGCGCTGCCATGCACTTTGTCCCGAGAAGATAAAATCCGGGATCGATACCCGCCCTAGCTAAGCATGGCTTCTATCCCACTTCCCTCCACCTATCTCTGCAGACAATGCCTAATTGTAAGCTTTTGTTCATTATGCAAGAACAAGTAACATCTTTATTTATGCTTACAAGCACCCATACCTGTAAGTACTAAAATTAGTTCCTGCGGGTTGCTGTCGTACTCGTCTGGGAAGATAAAAGCCTGACTTATACATCGGCTGGCCACCGTCTGCCTTTGAATCGGGCAAAATACGCATTGAAACACCTCTACGATTCCAAGAAAAAGGCGCGAATGAGTGGCCCATTTTACAAAAAGAATATTATCTTGGAATTTAGAGCTAATGCTCACCCTACTATGATTTTTAGAGTTGTCTCAGGCTGGTGGCACGTGGGTTATGAACACAACTCGAGACCCGAAACCGAACCCGTCCAATCCAACAGAGTCTTCCAATCCTTCAGAGGCAGAAAAAGCCTGAAAGGGCAAAACATTGCCTGGTACATCGACCAACCCCCGCAAGCTGCTT